ACTTATCAAGCACACACTCCTTTGTCCCTTCACTTATAATGAGGCACTTACAATCTACTAGGTTCGTGTCTGCCTGTTAAGTGGGGGGGGGGGGTCACTCACTCACTACAGCGGTACAATGGTGCACTTAGAGGAGTTACAATGGCGTGCTGTCTTCATGACTACCCCCCTCCACCTCCTCCTCCTCACGGACGCACTCTGGCAAAAATCCACGCGTTTGTGGGTCTGGCGTGTGCTGACTGGTCGTTCTTGACCTAGTTCGTCATAACGTCAGCCTCTGTGTTTCGAGGTGTCGGATTAGGTTAGATTAGATAGTCATTTTATATTTGTTGTTTGGTTATGTGAGGTTAGTTTAGGTTTGGTTTGGTTACGTTACGTTTGGTCAAGTTGGGTTAAGTTGGGTTGGGTTAAGTTGGATAAGGTTAGGTTAGGGTTAGGTTGTTAAGTTTGGATAAGTTTAAGTTAGTTTTAGTACATATTAAAAAGCTCCAATGTACGTTTACGAATACATAAATGTTCCTATGTACCTTAATGAGTAATTAAATGCTCCAATGTACTACCATAACGATACAGAAATGCTCCAATGTACCTTAATGAGTACAGAAATGCTCCACTGTAACTCAATGTACAGAAATGCTCCAATGTTTCCTAAATAGAACTACAGTCTCTTTCTCGGTTTCTAAAATATACGATGAGTCAGTGGCGCATTCAGCTCAAAATTTCAGAGGATAGAGGTGAAGGAAGGAGGGTGGCGAGTGGAGGGTGGGGGAGATGGAAGGTGGGTGAAGGGAGAGGGAGAAGGAAGGTGGGTGAAGGGTGGGGGAGAAGGAAGGTGGGTGAAGGGAGAGGGAGAAGGAAGGTGGGTGCAGGGTGGAGGAGAGAAGGAAGGTAAGGTGCAGAATGAGGAGAAAGGAAGAGTGGGTGCAGGGTGGGGAGAAGGAAAGAGTGGGTGAAGGAAGGGAGAAAGGAAGGTGGGTGCAGGGTGGGGAGAAGGAAAAGAGTGGAGTGCAGGGTGGGGGAGAGAAGGAAAGGTAAGGTGCAGGGTGGGGGAGAAGGAAGGTGGGTTAGCAGGGGGGGGAAGGAGGTGGGTGGCAGTGGGAAGATGGTAATGTGCCCCAATCTTTCTCTGACATCAATAATAAGCATTACTGTACGCGACCTCCAACATAAAACAATAACATCTTGCTAAATTTGAACCTTGAGAATAATTGATCTTTATTTAAGTATACTGTACACACTACATCTATCTCGTGTTTAGCTTTAGTTTGCTGCCTGTCTGTCACCCACGCATCATTTTATTTAAATTCTCATCAATATTTCCATTGCACCCGCACACAGGGAAAAAATATATTACCAGTCTTTCATCCTGTTTGAGTTTGTCTCTTGTCTGACTGTCACCCACACGCCGTTTTCTTTGAATTCTCATCAATATTTCCATTGCACCCGCACGCAGGGAAAAAATATATATTACCAGTCTTTCATCCTGTTTGAGTTTGTCTCTTGTCTGACTGTCACCCACACGCCGTTTTCGTTAAATATTCACCAACGTCTCCACACAAAGGGTCCCCCAAAAAAACCGAACTAGCAGCTATATCTGAACCCTGACCTGATCCTTTTATGTTTTAATGTACACTTCTAGTCTCCAATATTTCTACGCAACATTGTTTGAGTTTGCCTATCTCACCCACACTCCGTTTTCTTTGTTATTACTCATCAAATATTACCTTTATTCACCAACCTCCCACAAAAAAAAGGTCTCGTTGCCAAATTTGAACCACTGAACTGGTCCGGTAAATATGCGTGTGAGGTTCATCTTTAAAGTGTCGACATTGATTGGTTGATGATACTCCGTGGCGCTGCGCTGGTGCCAAATCTATCTCACTCTGAACACCCGAGACTCTTACTGTACATGTGACACCTCCGCCTCCCGCCACCACAACAACAACACTGCCGGGATGAGGTAGAGACAAAGAAGAGGTTATTTTCTTCGGATTCCACAGAGGGAAAAAAAATCTACCAGCTGATTTCCCACTGGAGTAAATTAGCGTGGTACTGTAGTTTCCCCAAAAGAAGAAATACTGCTGTACGATTTCGCAATGGATAAAAATCTCACTAGATATTTTCAGTAGATAAAATTCTCATCAGTTATTTTCAGTGGACAAAATCCCTGAGTCCCGTTTTTTTTAAAGTCCTAATATCCTGTCAGGTCAGGTCAGGCTAGATTAGGTTGATAAATTAGATCAGGCTAATTAAGCTAGGTTAAATTAGACCAGGTTAGATTCTTAAGTAACGTAATGTTAAGTTAGTTTTGGTTAGAACAGGTTAGGTTAAGTTAGGTTAGGTTACAGAACTTACAGGTACGTTATGTTAATTAATGTACCGTAAGTTAGGTTTGGTTAAATTTTGCCTAACAACACCATATTTAGTATACGACTTACGAACACCAAGCTCTTTTAACAGCACCTTAATAGTGATCAAATGTGTGTATGTGTATGTGGATGTATGTATGTGTATGTATGTATGTGTATGTGGATGTATGTATGTATAAGCGTGAGTGAGCAAGTAAGGATATATATATGCATGCATGTATCAGAAGGGCAGTGGGGCAGCAACACACACACACACACACACACACACACACACACACACACACACACACACACACACACACACACACACACACACACACACACACACACACACACACACACACACACACACTGGTCTTACTTGGACTGCTTCCAATAAACTGGTTGTTTATTATACATGCCCACAACACTGCAGTCCTACACCCACTACACTTCATGCACACTCCACATTATCCTCCACACACTCCACCTTCACCACATAATCCTCCACACACTCCACCTACACTACTTAATACGCCCTGCACACTACACCTACACTCACCAAACACAAAAGTCAACCTACACTTGCTCCACATTCTCACTGCGCTACAGTAGATTCACACGATACACATAATATACCCGCGACATTCACTGCACATTAACACAGAACGCATCCACTACCCAACATACATAAATTAAAGTCTACCATCGAAAAATCAATAAAAGATAACAATAAAAAAACTTCAGTATTTCGTTATCAATAATAAAAAGATTCAAGTAAATGAATAAATATTGCGAACTAACAATAAGTCAAACTAACAATTAAGACAACAGAAGTAATGAGAAATTAACGATAAACTTATACATGAAAACAGTACTGAAAATAAAATTATCCTACGCTGCGGTTTGACTTTGAAAACAATACTGATAAAAAAGGCACATGAAACAACTAATAACAATAAAAATAAATAATTAATAAACACAACAAAATAAATGATAAATAAAAAAATAAATACAGTTGAATTATATTATAACCGAACACAAAGGCAACGATGTATGTAGCCCAGTATATAATTTTTCAAGCGTTTCCTAACCATTGTTATTGTTCGGCATTATTTATATTTTTTTACGTGATCACTATATTGCATTTACTGATATGTAACGGTGAGGTGCATCTGCTTGTGTCTGTAGGGTAGGGAGGGGAGGAAAGGTTAAGGCTGGGGAGGTAAGGTTAGGGTTGGGGAGGTAAGGTTAGGGTTGGGGAGGTAAGGATAAGGCTGGGGAGATAAGGATAAGGTTGGGGAGGTAAGGTTAGGGTTGGGGAGAATATGCTTCAACAAAATACAGAACCACACCTAAAAATTTCCATCAGAATATAAAATCATGCATACACATTTCAGCAGAATACTTATTTCACATTACAGAAACGCATAAATACATAATCATACGTATACATTTCAGCCGAATAAAAAATCATGTGTATATTTCATCAGAATACAGAATCGTTTAGGTGTATTTCCTAGGCACGAGCACTTGATTCAACAGCTTCATTATACAACGCAGAGTGCAGCTGTAAGTGGTGAGGCTGAAGTGCAGCTGTAAGTGGTGAAGCTATAACGAATTTGTTCACATTAGCATTAGGTGTTTGCGTGTGGGGGTTTGTGTGCGGGGGTGTTTGAGTGTCTTCAAGGTTGAGTGTTCACGCCCATCTACCACAACCTTTACCACAATATTTACCACACCACCACCGCACCCATCTACCACAACCTTCACCGCACCCATCTACCACAACCTTCACCACACCCATCTACCGCAACCTTTACCACCACGCCCATCTACCACAATCTTTACCACAACCATCTACCACAACCTTCACCACCGTGGTACCACTCCTATCTACCACAACCATCACCATCTACCACAACGTTCACTATACCACCACAAGCTTCACTACCACACCCACGCCCATTCACCACACCATGAACACCGCTACAACCTTTACCACGTCCATGTACCACAGGCTTCACCACGCCCTAGTCATGGTGTGGCGTATAAATAGCACAGTACAGCTCACGTCTTCTTCCTATACAACTTAAATAAATGAGGAAAAGGCTGGCAGTTTAAGAGGTGACGAAGCTCCCATTTAAATCTCAAATTAAACGTCATTGTTGGGGTGTGATTCACAAAGGTTCCTACGTGGAATATTCCTGGTAAGTAAACTGATTTGTAGAATTTTGTTGAGCAGAATGAAGGAAGGCGTCAGATATACTATATGTAGTGATAGTATTGTTTTGAGTTTAGTTCAGTACGTTGCTTATTTCTGGTTAACTTTATACTCCAGGAAAAAAAACAAGCACTGGTAATAACATTTGAGTTAAACTGAAACGATGAAAATTATAGATATATTAATACTAGTTAGGGGAGAGAAATTAAGGTTGCGAATGTTTAGATAAAATATTCTGTACCTTGAAATTTGTCGGTGTTGTATGGACGTGTTATGGTGAGGTGTCGTGTTATGGTGATAATGTGTGTGTGTGTGTGTGTGTGTGTTATTTTGGTGTACTAACCTTAGTCAACCTGTTATGTGTTGTGTGTTGATGAAGATTCCAGGTGTGAGACTTGGAGTGTGTTATAAGGCCGTGTTGCCCTTACCTGTGATGCCTCCACGGTCCTGACATTAGCGTAGTCAGCTGAGGTGCTCTTGGTCTTACAGGAGGCTTGTCTCTTGTGCTGGTGCTGCTGTGGTTGTGGTTGTTGTGGCTGCTGGTGGTGCCCCTGCTGCTGCTGTTGCTGTTGGAGGTGCTGTTGTTGCTGTTGCTGTTGCAGTGACTGGGTGCCCGGGGCGCTGGCCATCGTGGATTGGGGGACAAATAAAAACCCTCACGATTTGGAACTGGGGTCTTTCCCAATATCTGTTTACATGGGTACAGTAAGTATCCTTGGCTCACACGCCCACACCCAAACACACACACACAGACAGCTATAGCACCCGTCACGCCATCATCTTAAATCCACAAGTTTCTGAACAAAGACCCAACACCACGGCCCCGTCACTTTTCAATTATAAAAAAAAAATTCCCCCCGAGGTGCCGTCGCTAACCCAACCCCATGGCGGCGTCCTCCTCACCCTGAGCTCTTGCCTCTAAGGTGTGGTGAAAACATGTAGGGGGCAAGAGTGTGTTAAGAGTGTATATCAGCGTGGAGGGGGTTGTGTTAGTGAGAGAGAGCGTGGAGACCTACACTCCCCGCCGTCTAGCACACGACTGTTGGAGGTAGCGCGGGGTGTCGTCTGCCGCAGCTGTCAACTTGGCGCCGTGTATCGACCCAATGAACCTCCACCCTCTTACTAGCCACCAGAGGTCTCCCGTGTAATCCAAACCCTTATACCCAGCGTTTATAGCGGATCAACAGCCATCATCCTCCCAGATAACAGAATCAGAGAGTCCATGATGGGAAAAATCAATATGATCTATGAATGCTAGGTAGTGTTTATACTTTGGCACACATTTTAATATTCCTTTATAATTCAGCTTTTCCTCCTTTTATTACCCCGGGCTCGTGGCGGATCAACGGCTCTGGTCAATCCCGGGTATCAGGATCAAGGAGATTGCGACGGGAAAAATCAATACGACCAATAAATGAATGTTGGTTGATATCTATACGTTGACACACATTCAGAAAGTCCTTGAGTAAATTCACGTTCCTGCTGTTTTTTGCAAAGATCATCTTCACGTTCTTAGGTCTCTGTATCCTTTATGGTGAACCTGTACTGTGCTGAAATGTACCATAGTTACTCTAACAAAGGTGAAGGTGACTCTAAATTGAAAAGAATCAGGAATAACTATTAAAATGTAAGACTTTCTTTTAGACGGTCTTTCTTTCCACCCTCGCTCTCTCAGTGCTTTCTCTCACCCCATCTTGCTCTCCTCTTTCCCCTTCCTCCCTCTCTTTCTCTACCCTCTGTGTCTCTCTGCCATTTGTCGCCTTTTCTCTCTTTCCACCCTTTCTCTCTCTATGTACCCCTTATCTGTGTATGTCTGTCTATCTGCCTACTCTCATACCCTCTCTTCTCTCTCCATCCTTGCTCTCTTTCTCCTCTAACACCCTTTCTCTCTTATCCCCTCTCTCTTAACATCCCCTTCCGATCTCTCTCTCTGCCTGTCTGTCTCTCTGTGCTGCATGTGTTACCGTCACAACACCAAACACCAACAGACAAACTAACACCCGTGGGAGGAAACTGCAATATGAGATGAGGGTAAGTCTGGCTACTGTCCCCTGGGTACAGTGACGTGAGGCGATGGCTGTGACGGAGGGAGGGTGACGTGGGGTGACGGCTGTGACTAGGGTATGTGACGGGGGGGGGTGATGGACGGGGAGGGTGTGTGACGGGTGACAAAGAGAAATAAACAAAGGAGGGTGTGGCGGAGAGGGAGTGTGACGGCTGACAAAGGAGGGTGAGTGTGACGGTTGTGACGGAGGGGAAATGGGTGTGAGAGGGGTGACGGGTGTGAGGAAGTGGGGGGTGACAAGAGGGTGAGTGAATAGAGGGACCACCAGTTACCTAACACACATACACATACGTACATCCCATAAGACATACACCCTCCACACACACACACATACACCCTCCACACACACATACAACCTCCACACACACACATACACCCTCCACACACATACAAACCCCCACAAACATACACCCACACATAACACCCCACAAACACACATACTACGATTAAATAAAAAATCCTTCAACAGAAGCGTGAACAATAACTTATGAATCATATACTAAATAAACCCGTTGATATTGTCCAAAATTTAAACCTGAGGTGCGTGGGTTCCTGTTCTGGGTGTATGCAATATATTATTTTTTCCATTCAACTATTTAAAGCAAAGAGTCAAGTTTAAAGTTCGTAAATTTCAAAATTTAGGTTTATAAAGATAAATGTTTTCGTAAAAATGGCGACTAATATAATAGAATATAATGTACAACATAAATGAATACACGTAAAATAATAATTAAATTGATAACGAATACAGAAACTGATACAAACAATATTTAGGTGATGCTAAAATAAACTGTACAATACCTTCACCGTACTAAAACTGAACACGAGATTATCAACTAAACTTTTACCACTATGAAATTCTGAAAAAAGTAAATAAAAAAGGTTGTTTCTGGACTAAGTGTGATTATTCATATTTACTTTATTTATTCCAACCAAATCCAATCTAACCCAACAAAACCGAATCCAACCAAACATAACCCTATCAAGCCTTACCTAAATCAACCAAATCAAATCTAACTCAACCAAACCCGAACTGGCCCAATTAACTTAACCTAACACTGCCTAATCTAAGCCAATCAAACCCAACCTAATCAAATCGAACCCAACCAAGCCTAACCCAATCAAAAATAAAATCAAACCCACCCAAACCTAACCTCAAATAACCTAGTATAAATTTCTCTGCAAAACAAACTTAAAATCTGGTCCCAGGAACTTCAGGGACATCCATGACGACAATTCAAGTATAATTGTACGTCCATTTTGTGCGCTTAAATGGAGTTAAATTTAGCCTATCTAGATAAGGTCGAGTCACAGTGTAATTTTAATGCCAAGTTAGGAGTAATATTTTGTATTTAAGCCTACCAGTCAGATGAGTTCTTATATCTCCAACTGTAAGGACTATTCAACGTGTGAACCTTTGGGTATAACGTAACTATATTCCTAACCTGAGTAGGGGATTACCGTTTTAAATCTCTTATTCATTATTACTCTTCTGTTTTACTATGAACACATTTAAGACAGTGCCACCCATCTTGTGCTATTATGTTTACTGACTGTGTATTACCTGACCAAACTGATGGATGTTTTACGAGCGTGAGGAGTGTTTTATGTGGATCATGCAGTCAATGGCATTGTTTGTCAGACTCTTACATAGTTACTAAAATGATGAGGTGTTCCTTTTTATTAACTACAACTGTTACGATGTCCTCCCAACATATTAAATTGCAATAGTATTTAGAAATAATTAAATAGTAGAAACATATCTTGGAAACATGGTGAGTAATCAGTGAGATAGATCCAGTGTTTTACAGCTTTTCTGTAATAGTTTCCATATTGTCGGTAATACAAGGTACACTTTAGGCTTCTTTTCAACTCCTGGTATTTAAGTATTTAGTAAAGTCATGCAGCACAGCTATGCCACTCATCTAAACCGTCTATAACTGCTATGTAACTAATCACTTGAGGAGGAATAACCGCCCCTACACTAATGACTTGTTGTTGATAACTAGTGAATGTAATAAACTAAAACACACGATTAATGGCCTTAGTTGTTGAAGAGTAGTAATATTGTAGTGTATATTAGTATTATTTTAGAACATTAACATCAGCTCCTTTCACCGTCTATTGTGATGAGAATAGCGATTTTTAATATGTTTTTAAGAAATACATATATACTGTAGACGTAATTCGTGTACATAAAACAAATTTCGTATAAACTAAACATTACTCAATAAACTCTGGCTGTGTGTAAGTATTTTTATTTCTGTTCATAAAATATTAATACGTTAGCAGCTATAAAAATACAATTCAATTCTTTATTAAAAAATCCTGATAATTTTTTAGTAAAAAGGTTATGCATTGAGCGAGCTGTTGAACAAGAGATATAAATAATATGTGTAGTTAAAGCAGCACATACTGAGGGACTTGTACACTCACCCATACACAAGTCTCCCCCTGTCAAGTATGGAGGCACACGCTATAGTAGTGTCTTCGGGCACATCTACTGATACTTCTGTACCCGGGGCTGTGATCTGAATGGACGATGTAATTCATAATTAATGTATAATAAATATAAGTGTACAATACTTATTAACACTGAGGATAAGTTATTCGTTTAATATGAAAATGACCACTAGGAAAAAATACTGCCAGAACCCGATATATAGGTGACAAAACACACACACTCTATTCGTGACAATGAATAAACGTGTGTACACAGCAACAGTCATAGGCGATGAGAACTTTACTTAAAAATTAAAACTTGATGGTAAATAAATTATTTCCCTTTATAACTGAGACTGAACTCGAAGGAAGCTCCAACTCACGCACAGTGTGGCCGCCCGTTTCAAGGCTTTGAACTTAACCTTTGATGCTAAAAATATATTGTTGCAGTAGTTGTCATGGTGAATATTCTTACCTGGTGTGAACACTGAGCACTTTCACATCTGTAGTTGGAGCGTGGTAATACTTTACTTGTTACATTCAACTACAACCTTATACGTCTGATGGTGTTGAGAAATTGTTAGTGATTAGTCTCCCAGCCTAAGCAAAGGACCTGACTGGAATTAATCATATGATAGCTTTGTTAGACTATACTTGATCGAAACGTCTTCAAAACACACGGGCTGATCCCCTCCACCCCACACACACACTCAGTCAGTCACCCGAGTTACATTTCTTATTACCAACACAAACAAAAAGTTTTACCTCAGGACTGAGCAATACACAATAAAACTGTGAGTTCAGATACACTGTAGCATGGTCTATGTGGCCAGTTGTCAAATTTCTCTTTGTTAGGCTCACATACATACGTACATGTAGGAGATCTCTCACTAAGGATGGAGGTGAGAAGGGAAACTCACTGGCGTTTTCTATATGTATATTATATGTACAATGCAGTGCTAGGGAGTTGCTGTGTGGTGAGGAGCTTGTTGAGAGGAGGCCTTGTCTGTTTGAGAGCGTTGAGTAGAATGACCTTCGCGGCTTTTTTTTGTGTCAGTTCCAAGTTTAGAAGCTCCAACAACTTTCCCTGAGTACGAATTCGCAACCTTTCGATTTACAACAGGTACCTACTTACTGCTAGGTGAACAGGGACCAAGGGGGCTAGGAGGAGTGCCCAAACAACTTCCGCCGGCCTGGGAATTGAACCCGTGACATCTTGCTTGCGAGGCAAGAGCGGTACTGCTTCTACCACAAGCGGCGAGGCTGGGGGTGTTTATACGATTCTGCCGGAAGTGAGCGGCGCTGCTGATTGGCTGAGGTGAAAGGCGGTAACTGGCCAATCACCGCGCAGTCCGAAAGCGAGGCTTGGTCTGTGGAACTCGCCGCTGGTTGGCTGGTAAGAGACAAATCGGGAGTTGTAGGGGAGAGTATCCACTACAATACTCCCCTTCCCCTCCGAGCGCTGCGGGAAACTTGTCGGCAGGGTTGTATCCCACATGTGAGACATAATGGGCAGGGGTGTGAACCACTCGGCTGCTACGGGTGACGACTCTGTCTAGTGACACAAAATCTGTGGGAGAAGCATAGGGAGAAGGAGGGTTGTAGATAAGAGAAGGTTGAACAGGCGAGGAATGTGGTGCTTCTCTTGCGGCAGGTACAAAATCCTCAGGGGCGCCGGGTGGGGTGTCTGGGTCCATGGAGCCGGATGCAGGAGCAGGGTCAGGAGCAGTAAGTACCTGAGGGAGAAAAGAGGATGCTGTGGGCGGCAATGGTGACCAGACAGGTGAAGGAGGCACAGGCGTGGTTTGCTGGGGGGAATGTGGTGTTTTTTTGGTGGCAGATGCACAGTCCTTGGGGGTGCTGGGTGGGATGTCTGGGTCCACAGGGCTAGGTGCATGATCCTCATCAGGAGCAGTAGGTACCTGAGAACTGTTGTGGACAAGGTGGTGCTGCAAGTGGCAACTGTGGGCAGACTGGTGCAGGTGTGGTTTGTTGGGGTAATGCTGGGCTGGGAGCCCATCGGGTAAAGTGGCCGGCTTCACTCGGTCGATGCTGATGGTGTCGTATCTGCCATTGTGAATGATCGTCAGGAACTTCGCTAACCGTGCAAAAACCGGGAAGGGTCCGTCGTAGGGGCGTTGAAGTGGGTTGCGGTGAGCATTGCGCCTGACGAAGACATACTTGGCGTTAAGTAGTGCAGGAGGGATGTGCTCAGGGCGATGGGAAGGCTTACGTGGGGCAGTAGCTTTGAATGCAGAAACTGCTTGTCGTAGTGTTTGCAGTAGGTCGTGACGGGCAGCAGGAGTGAAGTGGTCAAGGTCAGGAGAAAGTGAGAAATCCCCAGGTAGGCGAAGGGGCTCGCCTAGGGTGAGATCTGCTGGGCTGCAATCCATGTCCTCTTTGTGTGATGCGCGGATGCCAAGAAGCACTAAGGGTAGAGCATCCGTCCAGCTGTAGGGGTTGTGCTGTGCCTTGATGGCGTCCTTCAGCTGCCGATGAAACCACTCTACCATGCCGTTGGATTGAGGGTGGTAAGCAGTAGTGTGGTGCCTGGAAGTGCCGAGGAACTGTAAGAGACTATGCCAGAGTTGTGACTCAAACTGGGCTCCTCAGTCAGTGATGACAGTCGTGGGAGAACCGAAACGGGAGACCCAACCAGACAGGAAGGCGCAGACAGCTAACTCTGCTGTAGCATTAGGCATGGGAATGGCTTCTGTCCACCTGGTGAAATGGTCAATGCAGGTGTTGCCGCAGGATGCTAGAAGAGGTCTCATGATGCCGAGGTGCACTACCTGGAAGCGTCCTTTGGGTACAGGAAAGGTTTCTAAGGGAGCCCGTGTGTGTCGATGTATCTTAGAGGACTGGCAGGCCAGGCACTGGACAGCCCATTTCCGAGTATCAGCCTTGATGCCGGGCCAGACGACACGTTGAGTGAGAAGGTGCTGGGAGGCCCGTACACCTGGGTGGCTGAGACCATGGATGCAGTCGAAGATGGCGCGGCAGTGGATGTGAGGCACGAACGGTCTTGGCTGCCCACAGGACATGTCGCACCACCAAACATTTCAACCAAACATTTCAGGTTTCCTCCGGGTACTACAGTTTCCTCCTGTACAAACACTGGACAATAAAGGTTGTAATTTATCAAAACAGTCCAAATGGTGAAACGATAAGTTAAAAAGTAAAAATTCTGAAATTTTTTTTAATAAATGTAAATAACCCAAATGTGTTTTATACTAGGCACATTGTAAATAATACCAAATCAACATACGTTGCACAAAATTGTCGTCAGCTGGGAGAGACAGATTGAGACAGTTGAGAGCTTTTATTTATAGCGATACATGAACCGAAAACAGAACTGATCATGTATAGACATATTTATCTAAATATTTATACGCACACACATACACACACACGTATTCTCACACAGCTGTGATGGAGGAACATCTGTGATTTTGTAATGTTGCAGCGTAGTGCGCAGGTTATGATAGGTGCACCTGTGGTGGTGGAAAGGCTGTGGTAGTGTGGTGGTGGAAGAACTGTGGTAAAGTGTGGTGGTGGAAGGGCTGTGGTAGAGTGTTGTGGTGGAAGGAAGGGCTGTGGTAGTGTGGTGGTGGAAGAACTGTGGTAGAGTGTTGTGGTGGAAGAACTGTGGTAAAGTGTGGTGGTGGAAGGGCTGTGGTAGAGTGTGGTGGTGGTGGAAGGAAGGGCTGTGTGGTAGTGTGGTGGTGGAAGAACTGTGGTAGAGTGTTGTGGTGGAAGAACTGTGGTAAAGTGTGGTGGTGGAAGGGCTGTGGTAGAGTGTTGTGGTGGAAGGAAGGGCTGTGGTAGTGTGGTGGTGGAAGAACTGTGGTAGAGTGTTGTGGTGGAAGAACTGTGGTAAGGTGTGGTGGTGGAAGGGCTGTGATAGATTATGGTGGTGGAAGGGCTCTGATAGAGTGTGGTGGAGGAGGGACTGTGGTAGAGTGTGGTGGCGGAGGAGCGTTGGTGGTTAAGATCATTAGTGTGGCGGTGCAGCTGTGGTAGAGTGTGGTGGTGGAAGGGCTGTGGTAGAGTATGATGGTGGGGCTGAAGTAGTGTGTGTAGGTGGCGGCACAGCTGTGGTGGAGGCCCGGGACGTGTGGTGGAGACGCACGTGACGCTCCAGGTTGTGTCGCTGGGCACTACTGAAGGCACAGATGGGGCAGGAGAAGGGTTTCTCTCCTGTGTGGACCAGCAGGTGTCGCTTGAGTCTACTGGCGAAGGGGAACTCTTTCTTGCAGTAACAACAACGATGCTGCGGCGTCTGGTCTGTTCCACCCTGGGGCAGAAGCTCCTTTAGTAAATATTATGTTATACTGTATTATAGATTGTATATAAAGTAATAATAATACAAATAATGATTCAGCACGTGTAAATAACTTATGAACCGAGTTAGTGCACACACACACACACACACTAATATACATACCTACAACAACGAGAAAACGAATACGATATCAAAAACACCGAATTAGAGGGAGGCTGAAACGTAAAACCACTCCATCAGTCCAACACACACGCAGGCATGTTCAGGCCAGCTCCTGCACACACGCACTCTGAATATATACATACAGGGTGTTTACAAAGCCTCTTGATGTTTGTGTTTACCATTCTTTAAGTATGTTTCATATCCCAAACAATATTATTTTCTCTATTATTTTCTGTACCCAAGTATCCCTTGTGACAGACTAGCAGGTGGAATGGTAAATACTTTTAATTTATCACAGCAGCCTGTGATGTGAGCTTGATAGTTTCACAAATCTATAAATAAATGGCACAGCAAACATAGTAAAGGTGAAGAATACTGTACAGTTAGGCACAGGGCGTTTGGGAAAAAACTGTAGTTGTTGTTGGGAGGGGATGCCCCCCCCCCCCTTCCTCCCTCCAACACACACACACAATATATATATATATATATATATATATATATATATATATATATATATATATATATATATATATATATATATATATATATATATATATATATATATACAGTGATCCTCGGTTAACGAGCACAATCCGTTCCAGCAGGTTGCTCGTTAACCGAAAATCTCGTTAACCGAAACCATTGTTTCAATGGGTTTTTGGGTAATTGGTTCCAGCTCACCGAAAATTGCCTAAATTCAACATAAATGTTAGAAAATGACACTTACCTTGAGTTGTGTATGTAGAAGGCTCCTGGATGATGATGCTGATGTGAATTTGAAGTGGGAGGTGGAGGAGGAGAAGGGAGATGAGAAGGAAGTGGAGGTGGAGGAGAAGCATTTTACTGCTTCTTGGAAGGTGAGTCACCTTCCAGGAAAATGTCAGGAACCTCTGGACTGACAGATTCTCCACCATGAACATCCTCTCTCCTTCTTGAAGTAGAAGGCAGAGGGATAGCATCTTGTTCCCTCTGCCTTTTACTGAAGAAAGTGTCAATTGTGGTTTGTGGGGCATCTCTCCTCCTCACCATTAACTTACGTTTAAAGAAGGAGGCCACTGAGTCCTCAACATGACACAAAGTTAGTTCAGTTTTTTCCACATCTGGGTGCTTTGAAGCCAGTTCCCTGAACTTCTCCCAGTGGTAAATCACATCTTTCAACTCTTTAGTTGACATATGGTCATCACTTTCAATTTCCTCCTCACCACTGTCAGCCTCTAACATCTCATCCAGTTGCTTCAAGTCATCAGGAATAAGTTCCTCCTCATGAGACATCACAAGCTCTTTGACATCATCCTCTTCCACTTCAAGGCCCAATGACTGACCAATGGACCAATCTCCTGGTCCAACTCTGTTTCTTCCTCAAATCCCTCAAAATCATGGACTACTGATGGCCACAGTGCTTTTCATGAAGAATTGAGGGATCTAGTGGAGACTTCTTGCCATGATGCTACAAACAATTTTACAGCCTCCAGGATGTTGAATTGTGTCTTCCAGAACTGTTTCAGTGTTAGTTCAGGATCATTGGAAGTTGCCTGATGACACCTCCTAAACATTTTCTTCATGTACAACTTCTTGAAGTTGCTGATCACATTCTGGTCCATTGGCTGTATGATTGATGTGGTGTTGGGAGGCAAAAACAACACTTTCACAAAGTCAAATTGATACTCCAAAGTTCTGGCAAGTTCAGGGTCATGACCAGGAGCATTATCCATGAGGAGAAGAGCCTTTAAAGGGAGTTTATTGGTGGTTAGGTAGCTCTTGACAGAAGGGCAAAACACATCAACAGCCCATTCATTAAAGAGCTGTCTTGTCACCCATGCCTTACGGTTGGACTTCCAATAAACTCCAAGCTTTGTTCTTACCACTTTCTGTTGCTTGAACACCCTGGGGTTTTCAGAGTGGTAGACAAGCATAGGCTTCAGTCGGAAATCCCCTGAAGCATTGGCACCAAGCAATAGAGTGAGACGGTCTTTCATGGGTTTATGCCCAGGTAAAGAGGCTTCATCTCTGGTGATGAATGTTCTTTTGGGCATCTTTTTCCAGAACAGCCCAGTTTCGTCCACATTGAACACTTGCTGTGGAAGATAATTTTCTTCTTCCATCAGTTCTTTAAATTCCACTAAAAACTTTGCTGCCCCTTCTTTATCAGCACTAGCAGCTTCACCATGCCTAACAACACTGAAAATGTCACTTCTTTTCTTAAATTTTTCGAACCAGCCTTTGCTGGCCCGAAAATCTTCAAATTCTGTGCCTGAAGAACCAGGTTGATCTGTCTTTAAATGTTCGTATATCTCCCTGGCTCTTTCACAAATGAATTCAGTAGAAACTGAATCACCTTTCATCTGTTTTTCCCTAATCCAGATGAGAAGTAACCTCTCAGTTTCTGCAATTAGGGATCTACTTTTAAACACTCTGGTAGATTTGTCTCTCACTTTCACTTCTTTAAATTTGTCTTTCTGTGCAAGAATTGTCGACACAGTTGATGTCGACATGCCATATTCTTTGCATAGCGCATTTGTTCTAATGCCTTGTTCATGTTTTTTTATGATTTCCTGCTTGGTTTGGATTGAAATCGCTTTTCTTGATCTCTTAGGCCCCATGCTGGATTCAAACAATGTCAACACGTGTTTTTCAAAGTTAAACCAGCTGTAAATAAAGAATATTTTCTTTAAAATAACACTGCACTGTGCTATATATTGTCAATATGTAAAATAAATTTCAAAATGACCAATAATTTGCTTGGAAACACAGAAAAAAAGCGTTTAGTTGAAGAGAGTCTCAAGCAAGATGTTACCTCCACTGAAAACAGAGAGACTAACGCCTGTTTGCTGTGTTAAGAGGCTGGATGGCGCGCATAAACTAGTCACTTTACCTTCAATTATGTTCAATAATTGTTAAAATGACTAAAAAATTGAATATTAAACTTTTAAAATTATTGAATAGTATAAACTTCTTGATATTTACTAAAATAGTAAGGAATTTAAGCCCTAGAACCGATTAATGTATTGGCGGACTAATACTACAGCTGGTTGACCGCCAGTGCAAGCGAAAACATGTTGAGGTCGGCTCGTAAGAAACTCGTTAACCGAAGTTAACCGAATTTAAGAATCTTATGGGAGGCAGTTCGTTAACCGTTAACCGACGTTAACCACTATATATATATATATATATATATATATATATATATATATATATATATATATTATAAAATAAAATAGGTTGACTATTGCCTGAGACTCACCACTGGCCTGCCAGGTGAGGTGTGAGGGAGTAGCTCCTCCAGGTGGTGAGAGTACTGGTGGGTAGGTGGCAGAGGTCCTCCATGACTACCCAGCTGAGGGAGGTGTGAGGAAGGGTTGCCGGGCTCCACCATGATCACCTCTAAAGCCTCGTCAGCCGCCATTACAGGCAGCTCGACGTCCTCTGACATAAGGTCTGATGTGTGTCCCGCCCTCACCTGCAACACAAAGATCAGTATAAATTTTTTTCAGGTTTGTGTGTCTCAGTACTCCTACAATAATTATATTTAAGAAAATTTTAATACATGTAAATACAGTACTTATGAAAACCAGAATAAACCATTGAAAAATACAAAGAACGTGATCCATCAGAAAAGACTCGCAACACAACTAACAATCACAACCAGGCCTGTCATAGTACAATACACCTTTACACCAAACCATTATACAGGGTGTTTATAAAGTCCCTATCTATTTCAGTGAAATAACGGTTTTTATTGATTTTTATTGCAGAACTCCATGAAGATGAATGTGCAAGAACAGGTGCTGGTGGTAACACTACGTATTCAAGGAAAGAAATGCAAAGAAATTATAGAGGTTTAAAAGAAAATTCCATAAGCCAGGTCCTACAGACAAGACAATACGCGAATTGTTGAATAAATTCAAAAGAACGGGATCTGTTAACGATGAACCAAGACCTGGACGTCTGCATGTCTCAGAAGATGCTGTAAATGCAGTAAGAAATGCTATCACAGGAGAACCACGCATGTCAATTCGTGCCGCATTAAGTCTTTCAGCAAGATGGTGCACCTTGTCACTACGCAAACATTGTTTGGGAGTACCGGTACCTAAATGAACGATTTCCAGATCAGTGGATTGGACGTGGAAGCAACAGGCCCTGGGTGGCTAAATCGCCAGATTTAGCCATTACAATGTGCAGATCTGCAGGACTTACGGACACACATTGTAACGGCATTTAACAAAATAACCCATGAAATGCTCCAGGATGTGTTCAGAAATGCTGCGGAAAGATTTGAGCTCTGTAGAGATATTGATGGTGCACACATATAGAACCTTATTCTTAAGTATTCAATAAATGTATACCTTCTATCGTTTTAAATTTGAATTTAACACAGCTATCCGTTATATCACTGAAATAGATAGGGACTTTATAAACACCCTGTATATGAAGTTCTCAACTGGCAACCAAATTTGTACTGTTTACAGACAGACAGCATCAATGGTGTGTCATCCAACCTTCCAGGCGGGAGGTAAAAAGGGAAAGATATATGGCGAAATGAAAATAAAAATGACTTTGCATAATGTGTCTTAGGTCAAACAAGGTCCATCTAATGTGTTTTTGTAATTATGGTCAAGTGCCTTGCCCCTGCAGTCAAGTCCAAGCAGGAGCAGGTATCAATAACTAACCTTAGATCTTGTATAGTTTTATAATGTATTAATATCCCGAGTTTGGTTGTAACCCATTTTCATTACTCGGAGTTATCATATATACACATACACATAAAAAAATTATAATTAACACAATAGTGTGTCCTGGTCACATGATATGAAAACAGTTTGGAGAATTCAGGAAACATTGAGGATCAGTCCTGAAATTATTTCAGTAGAGTTTGATGGAAATATATTAAGATAAGGGAACTAAAACACAGACATGGTGATGTTATAAACAAACTTTATTTTAATTTGTAGTTTATTTCTCTATAGTTTCAATGTTCAACACATTTTACAGAAAACCCAACAAAATAATTATATTTGGTAACTAATTTCTTTGCAAGCTTGTCACCAATGTCCATTTGGAACAGTGGGCACAGCACATTGTAGACTAATCCTTTTTTTTTTTTTTTGGTACGAAAGGGAGCAACGTCACTGGCACTGCACTTGACTGCCTACAATTCCCCATCTGTAAATGTAGGTATCTAGTTTCAGCTAGGTGAACTGAGGGTACCCTTGGCACAAACCAGTGACCCTTAGGACTGGAGGTAAACAATGTATCCACTCAGCTACGACTCCCGTTACTTGTAACTTATACTGAAACCTTTTAAATCTAATTTACTAACAGCCTACATCATTGAGATCTCAAGTACAGTATAGCTATTTATCTTTTTTATTTACCAGCATATATCCTTCCTCACAGTTGGTCCTTTCTAACAGTAGTGTACAGTATCTGATATTACAGGTGTTGGCAAATATTTCACTTTACATCTACAACTGTGAAGTGACTGTACTACACGGACTTGAGCAGAAAACAAAGTGAAGATACTACAGTATTTAAATAAAGATTCAAGACAGATATAAGTAATTTTAAGTACTGTACAATAACATAACAAATTTCAAACAATAAAAAGTTTTTAAAATGATTACATTTTGTCATGATTCTAAAAATAAAGATAAAACTAACTGCATCTTCTGAACCTTTACATCTGGGGATCTAACCTGAGTTTGAGTTATGTTACCATAACCTGATGTTTGGTATGTTAGGTTAAGCAATGCATTGATTAAGTGGCTTCTTTTCTTAAACTGTTATTTGTACATTTCGTTTATCACAAATAAATTACAGTATATACAGTGCAGTATTCACTAAATTTACAAACTTAGCAAGGAGCGAGGCATCTAGGAGTGTATTCATTCACCCAGCTTGCACGGTAATGCAGAGCGAACAGCACAAGAAGCTCCTGCAGGGCTTGAAGCAAAGAAGGGAAGAGTCAAGGAGGAATGGAGATGGGTGTACATGGGTTATATTCAGGGAGAGGGTAGTGGAAGCAAGTGTGCCGACACAGGGCCGGAGGACAGCAGCGCACCCTCCACCCGCTCTACCCCCCACCCGGGAGGTGGCACCAGCTCCACCTATCAGCCGGGAGGAGGCGAGCGCCTTGAAAACAATGATATTTCTAACCACACCCTGCAAAATACAGTGTACCTAGCAAATGCTGCAGCTTCTGAGAATGGGGGCGGGCGGGGTTACTACTAAGAGTAGAGACATTACTCGAGAACAAATTCTGGCTTGAAGGTCATGTACACTAATACTGACACGTTCCTTGATAAGAGAGAGGAGTTTGAAACACTACTGGAGGTACACCAACCAGATATTGTAGGAGTTGTTGAACTGTTGTTACAAGAGCAGGAGAATCGACCCAGAGGAATGTGAGTTCAGTATTGCTGGATATGACTCATTTACGAACCTTTCTCAAGAAACTTGCAAGAGGGGTGTGGTTATCTATGCTAGGCAAGACCTTAGAGCCAGCCAGGTAAGGGTACAGGGAGAGGATGTTTTTGAAAAGTCCAAGTGGTGTAAAATTAAACTGTGGCCCACTAAATCAAAGGAACTTAAGAGCCTTACTAGACAATGCGGCGATGCTCAACCCTAGCCACCTCCTTATCAAAACTGTGGCCCACTAAATCAAAGGAACTTAAGAGCCTTACTAGACAATGCGGCGATGCTCAACCCTAGCCACCTCCTTATCATGGGGGACTTTAACTATGGCGACATTGACTGGAGAAATGGAGAAACGAGTTCACCCCAAATGACTGGAATAACCCTGCTACTCTTTTTGTAGAAACTCTAAGAGATAATTTTCTGTTCCAACATGTTAGAGACCCGACACATTACAGAGGGGAGCAAACACCGAAGCCACTAGACCTCGTCATAACAAACGAGGAGGGTATGGTGGCCAAACTGGAACACCTTGCCCCAGTTGGCACCAGTCACCATATAGTGTTGTCATTCAGATTTAACTGTTACCTAGTTCAAGATAAGGCCAGGCCAAGGTGCAAATATTACAAGGGAAATTACAACGGAATGAGGGAAAAGATGAGGGGTATCCACTGGCCTGACTCATTAAGGCACAAGAACGCAGACACTACGCTGAATATCATAACTAGTAAAGTGACCCATTTGATTGATAAATATATACCCAAGACCAAACCCAGTGCCTCTAGGAATACGAGGGGATCCCTACACATGAACCATGCGGCGGTCGACAAAGTTAACAAAGTTAAGATGAAAACCCAGAAATTCAAGACGTGGGTTAGGTCAAACGATGAGCGGGACAGGAGGATGTATGCAAGAGCCAGAAACCAAACAAAGATAGAGTGTAGAAGGGCTGAAAAGGAGTTCCAGAGGCTGGTTGCAAGCGAGGTCAAGTCAAACCCAAAGGCGTTTTACCGCTATGCAAAGTCGAAATTAAAAACGCGAGTAGATGTATCAGACCTGAGGCTTGAAGATGGTAGTTACGCAGATTCTGACCAGGATAAAGCTGAGGCATTGAACAGCTTCTTTTCCTTGGTGTTCACAAGAGAGGATGAGATTAACCTTCCTGCGTTTGAGGACAGACGGTTCGACACAGCACTGACCCACATTGTGTTCACAGAGGAGGGTATTAGAAATAAACTGTCAAAGCTAAAGGTTCGTAAGAGTCCCAGCCCTGACATGGTACATCCTAGAGTGCTAAGAGAGTTGTGCAACGAGCTTGCAGAGCCCTTGAAGATCCTGTTTTGTAAATGCCTGGATGAACAAAAGGTCCCCAGTGAATGGAAAGTGGTTTATGAGAGTCCTATCTTTAAGAAGGGAGATCGTCACTCCACGAACAACTATAGACCGGTGAGCCTGACCAGCATAATATGTAAAGTACTTGAGAGTATTATCAGAAATGCCGCGATGGAACATCTACTACGAAACAACCTTCTAAAGGATTGCCAACACGGTTTTATGCCGGGGCGCTCCTGCTTAACATAATTGCTCAAGGTATTGGATATTTGGAACCATATTCTGGAACGGGGTGGTAACATCGACAATATATACCTAGATTTTGCCAAGGCTTTCGACAGTGTACCCCACGAAAGGCTGAAAATCAAATTGGCATGGTACGGAATTCGGGGAAAAGTCCTAGCGTGGATAAAAGACTTTCTACATGACTACAAGCAGTGTGTGGTGATTAATGGCACGAAATCATCATCCGTACCTGTCACAAGCGGGGTACCACAGGGCAGTGTATTGGGCCCACTGTTGTTTGTTTGTTTCATAAATGACATGCCTGACCTTGTACACTCCTCCATACAAATGTTTGCCGATGATGCCAAGTTATTTCGGGAAATCAAGAACCAAGCGGACTGTGAAGAGCTGCAGAAGGATCTCTGTGAGCTCCAAGAATGGTCGAAGAAATGGCAGCTGAGATTCAATGTCACGAAGTGTAAGAGGATGCACCTGGGGCGTACCAACGGTAAGGAGGCATATCATATGTCCCTGTCATGGTCACGTTGACTGCTAGTCTATTTAGCTAATGATTCTTATTAAACTCCACGACCGCAAAACATGAGTGGGTTAGCAACCCCTGAGAAGAAGACGTGTTTTTCCCCATCGACGCTACACTTGTGTTTCCCTCCCAGAGTCCCGCCTTTGTGAAGACAGTTATCATTGCGTTGTTTATTCCACTTTCTCCTGGGAAGCTCAATCTTGAATTAGTCTGTGTATATGAACTCATGTAATTCGTCAGACCTTTGTCAACTGAGGGTCATCTTTGAATGAGTAACAGTTAGTTTGTTTGTGATTATTGTCATTGCATGAGTAGCGATCACTGGCAACTCAGGGATATATATATACCCGTGCATCGCGCAGGACTAGCGTCCCCTGACGCCGCTCTCCAACGTTTGTTCCAGGTATGTTTATGTGTAGCCATTCAGTTAATTCAGTCAATTGTAGTGAATATCAGTGTTCATCAGTGATCATGCTTTAACAGCTGAATTGTCATTCACCCAGTGTAAGAAGCAAGATAACGCAAATACGTCTGTCGTCTAGACAAGAGAGTTGTTTGTGTTGTCATGCTTCCCAGTCCGTCCCCTGATGCCGCTCTCCAACGTTTGTTCCAGATCCCATTGTGATTCTTGCATCGCTCAACAACTGCCCGTATGTAGTAGATACCCAGCAGGGACCATATATGAAACGATGGCACCGATGCGGCCTGATTAATGTGCTCCACTGCCTCGTTGGGCCAGACCCCAGACTCGCCATGTGTCTGGCTACCACACACAATAACAACGATTGTGAATCTCAGTGTTTTACCCTGGGACGCACCCTGGAAGTATAAGTCCACAGAGAGTGTTGTAACATGTATGTTAGGGATAATTAGTTGGAAATAATTATCCCATGTTGGGTAGTGGACCCAGGTATCTGCTGATTTCATTATTAACGTGTATGTTGAGTAAGGTCTTGTAACTGTACTGAGAAGTACCACTTGGATGTTGAGTAAAGTAATCTACAATGAGTGCCATGTACTATGTATTGTGAGTAGGGCCAAGGAACTGGTCCTGCTATGCCATGTAATGTAACACCAGTAAGGTTGTGTGCAGTAAGAGTGTAAGATCTGAGTAATTACTGTTGAGTAAAGAAATAAGAAAATAAGTAAAGAAGAAAGTACTGAGTCTGCAATAAGCCCAGGAGTTGAGCCTGGTAGTTATATGATTAATAATATATCTTTTTCCCTTTGATTTCATATTAATAAATTTGTTTTTAGAGTACTTAAGGTGTATTCATTTCTCCCACAGTATTTTACCTTTATTTCCGTCCAAGTGACGTGATACCAGAATTACCATACCCATGTGCCTAGACCCTCGGCCATGCTACCAAAAGAATGTCCATGCAACTAAATGAATAGGTGACAGAACCGAGTAAGAGTAAGAACTAAGATAAAAGAAGTAAGTAAGATGAGGGTGGTGTAGGGGTTGGAAAACACAAGCGCCCTCACATCCCAGCGGGATGAAGAAACTGCACTATTTGAGACTGAATGTGAGAAGGACCTAGGTGTGTATGTTGACAATGAGCTGAAGTTCTCGGGCCATTGCGAAAACAAGGTAAATCAGGCAATTAAATTATTGGTACTTACAAGAAGGTCGTTCAGATATCTAGACGGTCCGTCCCTCGTAACGATCTTCAAGAGTGAAGTGCTTCCCCATCTGGAGTACTGTCACCCCGTCTGGTCCCTGAGATATTCTAGGGACTGTCAGTTGGTTGAAAATGTTCAAAGGAGGGCCACCAGACTGGTGCCTGCACTTCGGTACCTCAACTACCTTGAGAGATTGGAGCGCCTGAAATTGCCTAACTTATACTACAGATGGGCAAGGGGTGACCTAATTGAGATGTATAAGCATCTCAATGGGCACTACTCAATCGAGTGTCCTTACTTGGAGCTGGCGGACGCTCGCCCCACAAAGGGTCGCAGCTCAAGATTGAAGAAGCCGCAAGCCTAGAAAACTCGGTGTTGTGACGGCACCGAGTGTGAGCTCTTTCAAGACCAGACTTGACCAACACTGGAGCAGGTTCAGGTACATTCAGCAGCCGGTGCATGCCCAGTACAGTACTTGCCAACAGTGCGTAACGGAGACGTGACCAATCGCCTAAGTGGCTAA